GGGGGGGGCAGAAACTTTCTGTGTTTAAGCTGAAGTTTTTTTTAAAAATGGATCCATTCTTCAGGCTCCATTTGTGAAATGCCTTCCATGTTATTTGCCTTGTAGATTTTCATATTTGGGGTTAGAGAAGAGAAGACGCATTCTTATTTTGGCAGATGTGGGTATTTGGGCCGGGTTGAACCACCTACTACCAGAACTACCACCGGCAGCAGCAGTAACCCCAAGAAGGAGAAAAAGAAAAGCTATATTCTCACACTGTTGCATTTCGGGACATGACGAGTCTGTCACTAGGTGACAACAAATAGAAGGCCTGCCTCGCAGATGGTGCACACTCTAATCTTAGGAGGGGACGGGAACATCCACACCCAGCACTCTTAAAACGATCACAGGCAGAGAAAGCTGAAGCCAGAACCCACTAATACCCACTAACCCATTCATGCAGGCACGCCAAAATTCACAGCTCAGAAGGACGGATATTCCTCGTACCTATTCATCTCAGTACATGTTAGCTCGGTTCTCCCACTGCGCACCAGATTTGTCCCCTGACTTTGCTCCCTGTGGCTCCCGACAAACCTGCTGAGAGAGTCCCACTTGTTAAGAGAGAACAACGTATAGAATATGCAGCTCGGAATGTGTGGGGCGCCTTAAAAATAGTTCTGAATGAGAAGTGGCCGAGCATGGGCACTGGTCTGGTCACATTTCAGATATAAATGAAACCAAGCCCGTGGCCCAGAGGATTGAGTTTCTAGAGCAGGAATCTCAAAGGGCTCTCTTCCCCAACTCCTCCTTTGATCCCTTAGTCAACGACACACATGAAGCATTTGTGACCCCTTATGCCCCAGCTGTGAAATACCAGCCACAATGGATAAAATGACATGGGGGTCTTACGCCAAGTATATGCACACATGTGCTGACTTCATCTATGGCTTTTGGAAGAAGCAGTAACAAAACTGGCCAGAACAAAATGGAACTCACCAGAAAATGAAGTCCTCGTGGTAGAGGTGGAATAGAGTCCTAATATTTAAGTAGCATTGCTAGTATTAAAGTCTCTATAATGAGAAGCATTCCTACTTTTTATTTTTTTTTTTTTTGCTTCGAGATAATGCAAGTATCTTCTTAAGTGTGGAAAGTGATTTATAAGCCACTTTCTCTAAAGACGTCCAGGAGATGAGCAGTATACATTGGTGTGGACTCAGCCATATGGGGGAAAGTGTGGACGGTGGGTTTCAAAACACTGCCAGGGAAGGTAGCTGTGATGTCAAGGTTGATACGTCTCCATAGCCTTGGCACCAAGTGAGGGTGGTATTTGTTTCAATAGACTGCCTTCACAGAGAGCTCCAGACAAATTTGTTGGATGTATAATCAGGACCTTAGGTAAGTGGGCAAAGGATAGGTTTTAGAATGAACACTTTGGGAACTGGGTGATGAAGTATTTATTTTCTAGAGATCTAGGTGTTATGTGAACACTTCCTCCAAATGTATGTGGCTGGATGCAGTCGTGTGACGGTAGAATAATTCTGGACCGAAACTTTGACGGTAGAATAATTCTGGACCGAAACTTTGACCAGAGCATGTTTGTACTTTGTTTTTTGTAATTTGGAGTGACAGCATCCCAGCTAGGAACAGTTAGCTGTCAGTAGGAGTTTTAAGATTCCATTAGCAAAAATGGACAGTAAAGAAAAATAAAACTTCTAACAGACGAAGAGGACTGAGTTTCCGTTGTTGACTATACTCCACAGATGACACAGAGCCACTGTAGATAAATCGGATGCCCCAGAGAAACAATGTCATAGGACATCACGGGTCCTTTTCTGTGACACTTCAAAGATGTGGCTCCAACAGAGGGACACATTTTTAATCAAACAATGCTGAAGTATGAGGCTCATATATTTGTTTGAAATAAAAACAGTGTAGGGGCAACTGGGTGGCTCAGTTGGTTAAACGTCTGACTCTTGATTTCGGCTCAGGTCGTAAGTGCACAGTTCATGAGTTCCAACCCCACATCGGACTCTGTGCTGACAGTGTAGAACTTGCTTGGGATTCTCTCTCTGCCCCTCCCCTACTCTCTCTCTCTCTCTAAAAAATAAATAAACAAAAAAAAGTTTATGTACATTATTTATTAAAATTTTTTTTTGGGGCGCCTGGGTGGCGTAGTCGGTTAAGCGTCCGACTTCAGCCAGGTCACGATCTCGCGGTCCGTGAGTTCGAGCCCCGCGTCAGGCTCTGGGCTGATGGCTCGGAGCCCGGAGCCTGTTTCCGATTCTGTGTCTCCCTCTCTCTCTGCCCCTCCCCCGTTCATGCTCTGTCTCTCTCTGTGCCAAAAATAAATAAAAAACATTGAAAAAAAAAATTAAAAAAAAAATTTTTTTTTAATGTTTATTTATTTTTGAGAGAGAGAGAGACAGAGCACGAGTGGGGAGGGGCAGAGACAGAGAGGGAGACACAGAATCCAAAACAGGCTCCAGTCTCTGAGCATTCAGCACAGAGACCAACGCAGGGCTCAAACTCGGGAATGGTGAGATCATGACTTGAGCTCAAGTTGGACGCTTAACCAACTGAGCCACCCAGGCGCCCCGTACATGACTTATTAAGATTAAAACCAAACTAACTAGTTTGGTTTAATACTATAGAAACTAAACTAACAGATACTTGATTTTCTTAAAAGGGTTGATTAGGATGCCTATTTCAACATCTAATAATATTGAGCTTCAGGCTAGTATTAGATGTATCAAAACATGGAGGATGTTTACATTTTAAATGTATAGACTAATGAGTAACTGAAAAGTAAAGCTGGGAGGAGAGTAGCCTGGGTCACCTGAAAGCACTCCTGTGCAAAATACCTAAACTGTCAGAAGGGATACCCCATGAGGGCAGAGATTTGGGGCAGCTTTATTTACTCCTAAATCCCCAGTACACTGCCAAGCACTACAGGTGCTCAGTAAATATTTGTTGAATAAAGTGCATAAAGTAGGGGCGCCTGGGTGGCTCAGTCAGTTAAGCGTCCAACTTCGGCTCAGGTCATGGTCTCACGGTTTGTGAGTTTGAGCCCCATGTCAGGCTCTGTGCTGACAGCTCAGAGCCTGGAGCCTGCTCAGATTCTGTGTCTCCCTCTCTCTCTGCTCCTCACTCACTCGTGCTCTGCCTCTCTCTCTTTCTCTCTCAAGAGAGTTTTAAATAAACG